TAACTTAAATAGAAAAATATACATTGTCTTTGGGAATAAAGTTTTTCTGTAGAAAGACCAGATGACAATCTGATTTTCCTTTCCTTATAATTAACTTTATGCCTGGATGCCAAAGGTATGATTTTCTGGGCATATAGTAAACTATTGCAAAACATAATTCCAATTCTTTTGTTCTTAAATTTAGTCAAGTTATCTTGAATCATTTCTGGTGATTGTAGTTCCACTGCACTCTTACTGGAACTTTTAATTAAGATGTTAGATCTTCATTGCCTATCTTGTATATTTTAAACATTTAACTAAAGTATATATAAAGCATATACAGAGGGTGCCAAAAAATATATACACATTTTAAGGAAGGAAAAAATTGTATTAAAATTTTATTACTCAATATATACTAAAAACAAAATATGAATGCAAGTCATGTTTGACTTTTGCAATTACAAGAGGTGCTCAAAGTGGTTACCATCACTGTAATTTTAATACAGTTTTCTCATTTCTTAAAATGTGTATATGTTTTTTGGGCACCTTTTGTATTAAATTTGATGCTAATAATATTGAAACTTTATATGCAAATTTACTCATGATCAAACAGAAAACCAGAATTATACCATACCCACTAAAATAAGTAAATTAGTAGATAAAAACTTTGCATCAGGCTTAAAAATAAAAATAAGAATTAAAACAAAAAACAAAAAAACTGAGCAGAGACACCAGTGGCTACATACTACAGGAAAGCAGACTACAGAATTAGTCCAGACAAGTCACTAAACAAATTTTAAAATAAAACAGCAATAACAACAACCCCAGGAAGGATGAGAGATGCTATATTATCTGAAATGTCCCATTTTTAATAAAAATCATAGAACACTCAAAGAAACAGTAAGTGGGACCCATTGATGTGGGGTTGGGGAAAGCAGTCAATAGAAACTTCTCTCAGGGAGCCCAGAATAAGATTTCAAAGCCACAAAACAAGTCTTGATAAATTTGAAAACACTGAAATTATACTAAGTATCTTTTCTAATCACAATGAAATGAAATTAAAAAATCAACAGATAAAGAAATCAAGAGCCAAAACTAAAAAACTCTTAGAAGAAAACAGGAAAAGCTTTATGACATTGAATTTGAAGTGATATCTTAGCTATGACATCAAAAGTCACATAATAAAAGAAAATTAGATAAATTGGACTTCATTGAATCTAACATTTTGCACATCAAAGGACACTGTGCTATCTATGACCTAAATGTTTGTGTCCCCCCCCCCAAAATTCATTTTGAAATCCCAATACCCAATCGCATGGTATTAGAGGGGGGACTTTGGAGGTGGTTAGGACATGACGGTGGAGCCCTCATGAATGAGATTACTGCCTTATAAAAGAGGCTCCAGAGAGATCCCTAACCCTTCTACCACATGAGGACAAAGTGAGAAGGCACCTGCTATGAAACAATAAGAGGATATGCTGGCACCGTGATATTGAACTTCTAGCCTCCAAAACTGTGAGAAATAAATGTTGTTGTTTAGAAGCTACCCAGTCTATGGTATTTTGTCATAGTAGCCCAAACAGACTAAGATACACCATTAATAGAGTAAAAAGGATACCCACAGAATGGAAGGAAATATTTGCAAATCACATATCTAATAAGGGATTATATACATCCAGAATATTTAAAGAACTCCTACAACTGAACAACAGAAAAAAATAAACAATTACATTTTAAAATCGCAAAGGACTTGAATAGACATTTCTCCAAAGATATATGAATGGCTAATAAGCACATGAAGAAGCTCAACATCACTAATCATTAGGGAAATAAATGCAAATCCAAACCACAGTGAGATATTACCTCACATTCATTAGGGTGGCTATTATTTAAAAAAATAATAAATAGCAAATATTGGTGAGAGTGTGAAGAAATCAAAACCTTTGTGCATTACTGGTAGGAATATAAAATGGTGTACCCAATGTGGAAGACAGTATGATAGTTCTTCAAAAAATTCCACAAATCCACTTCTGGATATATATCCAAAAACTTAAAAGCAGGGACTCAAAGAGCTATCTGTACACCCATCTTCTTAGCAACATTATTCACAATAGCCGAAAGATGGAAGAAAAAAAGTGTCCATCAATGAATAAATGTATAAACAAAATGTGGTAAATGCATATAATGGAATATTATTCAACCTTAAAAAGGAAATTCTGACACATACTACAACATAGATGAACCTTGAGGACATACTAAGTGAAATAAGTCATACACAAAAGGACAAACATTGTATGATTCAACTCATATCATATAACTAGAGTACCAAAATTCATAGCGATAGAAAGCAGAATGGTGGTTCTAATGAGGGGAGAAAGGAATTGGGAGTTATTATTCAATGAGGATATAGTTTCATTTGGAGAAAATGAAAAAGTTCTAGAGATGAATATGATGACGGTTACACAACAATGTGAATGTACTTAATGCCACTGAACTTACACTCAAAAAAATTAAGAGTAATAAATTTGATTATTCATATTTTATCACAATTATAATAAATAACTTCTACAAATTAATTATTAAGAAAATAAACCTGGGCCGGCCAATAGGCGCGATGGTTAAGAACTGGCTTGGGATGCCAGAGGGCCCCNACATTCCTTACATTCATAGGGTTTCTCACCAGTATGAATGCTATGATGTCGGGCAAGTTCTGAGACACGGATAAAGGCCTTCTCACATTCCTTGCATTTATAGAGTTTCTTGGCGATATGAATTCGTTGATGTTGAGTAAGTTGTGAAGCAAAAATAAAGGCCCTTCCACATTGTGCACATTCATAGGATTTCTCACCAGTATGAGTTTGGTGATGTTCAAAAAGTTGGGAAGCACAAATAAAGGCCTTCCCGCATTCTTTACATTCATAATGTTTCATACCAGGATGAATTCTCTGATGTTCAGTAAGTTGTGAACTACGACTAAAGGCCATTCCACATTCCCTACATTGATATGATTTCTCGACAGAATGAAGTCGCTGATGTAGACCGAGTTGTGAACGCAGTCTAAAGGCCTTCCCACATTCCTTACAACCATAGGGTTTCTCACCAGTGTGAACTCCCTGATGTCGAGTGAGCTCTGAGCCAGAAATAAAAGATTTCCCACATTCCTTACATGTAAAAGGTTTGTCACCAGTATGAATTCTCTGATGTCGGCTAAGGTGTGCTGACTGTCTAAAGGTCTTCCCACATTCTTGACATGCAAAGGGTTTCTCATCTGTATGAATTCTCTGATGTTGAGTAAGATGTGAGCCACGAATAAAAGCTTTTCCACATTCTTTACATTCAAAGTGCTTCTTACCAGTATGAATTCTTTGATGTTCAGTAAGATAGGAAACATTACTAAAGACCTTCCCACATTCCTTACATTTATACAGTTTCTCACCAATATGAATTCCTTGTTGTTGCATAAGTTCCGAGCCATAAATGAAGTCTTTCCCACATTCTTTGAATTTATAGAGTTTCTCTCCAGGATAAATTTGCTGATGTAGCGTAAGAGGTGTCTGCAAGCTGCAAGTTGGCATTTTTTCATAAGTCATTAATGCTTGCCCCGAATATCTCTCCTGATTTATCTCTTGCCTCTCAAACTGGCCTTTGCATTCCCAGTCATCTCTGACACTGGAGCCCACAATTCTATGACTTTTTTCCATTATTACCCACTGGGATGTTGTTACTTCATAGATTTTTTTTCGAAGACATAATTCCTTGGTCTTACATCTGAGCTCCAAGTCTGAAAGATAACCAGAAAGTAAACATATGATGTTTCATCTTTGAGGAGAAATAAAACTTCTATGGTAAAAATGGAGGAAAAACTGAAATTAATGTCCATAAGAAGATGGTGTACAGGGCCTTCAATTTGAAAAAGAGGTCAAGAGCATAAACACTTAAGAAAGATGAGGGAAGCTGGTAGGAAAACAGGAAAAGTCAGTAGTTTCTAAATTCAGGTATATATCAAAATCACCTGAATAGTCTATTTAAAAATATGGATGTCAGCATACCACCTCACATCAAGTAAATAAGAATTTACACTAACAGGTCTTAGGTTTCCTATTTTTAATACATTCAACCAGTCCATTCGATGTTCCACAAAATTTAAAAATCCCACGTAGATGTGCTTGCTTCGGCAGCACATATACTAAAAATTCCACATAGAATTTTTCAGTGGTTTCCAACTTCACTTAGAATAACATTCAAACTCCTTATCATAACTTATGAGATCCTCCATAACTTTTCTTTGACATATCTCAATCCAAATCCTATCCAACATCTTCTTGACCCACTTTTCCCCACATTCATTATGTACCAAATATTCATCAACTCTGAGCATCTGATATAAGCCAAGATCTTTACCTTTTCAAAATTTACCACAGGCTGTTTGTTCAGTTAGAAATTCTGTGAACTTGGCTCTTTGCACAGCTGGATGCATATCACACTATATAGTTCCTGGTGAAAAGTTACTTCCTTAGAAAGTTTGAGCTAGACAACCCTATTTAAATTCACTTCTTTATTCTCTCTCATTGCAATTTTCTGGATTTTAGAATTATAAAATAATTTATTTATTCATAGGTAATCTTTTATTTTCTTACTAATAAAACCCTTAATAGGCAGGAACAATGGCTGTTTCACTCAATACAGAATAACCAACATCTTACTAATAAAAGGTGTTTCATAGGTTGTTTAATGAATGAATCACTAGATTAATGAAAGGGGATTATTAACAGGATAAAGAAAAGTATTATATAGATATGGAACTAGGGAAGGTACTTAAGAATTATAATAATCATTTGTGCTCATAATTATAGAATAGTTCTAAACATCTGTCCCTGATTTTTAATCTCTCCCACTTATGGAAAAGATAATATATTCTTTTTACTTTCATTTCCCTCAGAGACTAAAACATAATCACAACCAAAGCTAGATTATTAAATTATGCAAATAGAAAAATATTATATATAACTAATCAACCATCTATCCAATTATTTCTCTATTTCACATATACCTCCACCAATGCTCACTGCAATTTATGTATAGTCATGACTGTCTTTTCTGTCTCCCTATTTCAACCACTCTACTGAAGTGCCTCTTCTTTTAATCTTCACTTGAATTTGTAGTATTACTCAACCTTCCTTCCAATACATGATCTATTTTGTTCCTCCAGGCTCTTCCTCAGGTCCTCCCTTCCACTCTTGTCTGTCCAAGACCACTTTATCTGTACTTCCCAGAAAACTGTATTTCCCCCCCCCCAGGCATTCTGTCAGGTTTGAAGCATAATAAAAGAGCTACGTTATGTGAAGCAAAGGGACTTGAGAATGTTGGGAGGCTAGAATCACCAACTATTTGGTAGAATGAGTCTGGGTACACCGCAATAATAGGAACTCTATAGCAAAGGGTATACTAGATGTAAGCTGAAGGGAATCATGGAGAATGGCAATCTAGAAAATGGAACAGACTGAGAATATTCTAAAAATGCTGAGTGAGTATAAAATGATTACAACACAAATACTCTTGTAACTACAGTATGATTCCAATGAAACTATCAATTGGTGCAGGTGCTATAAAAACTGTTCTTGAAATAATACAGAAGGGAACTCAGGCAAAGTCTCTAAGAATGAATAATTTGACAGTAAAGGCTGAGATATGGTTCAGAATAAAAGAAAGCATAGTAATGAGATTTAGTGAGAACACAGGATTCAGATAGACCAGCATTTCAGACCCCAGCTCTGTTAATGATTACCTTTCTGTTATGGACAAATTATTACTTTCACCTACCTCAATCACCATTTCTTCATATAATAATAGACATAGGAATATCTATTCCCTAAGCTTGGGAGGATAAGGAATAATATATGTAAAGTGGCTGGCATAAAGAGCTCAAGAAGTGGTTGTTGGGCCGGCTGAGTGGCGTGTTGGTTAAGAGCTGGCTTGGGACGCCAGAGGGCCCCGGTTCAGATACCACATATGAGAGCCAGTGACACTGCCCTCCACAGCTAAGATGCTGAACAACAGCTCAACCTGGAGCTGGGCTGCC